AACCACAGCTTTTCCCCCTTTTTTTTTTTTTGTTTTGAAAAGTATGTCCCTAGATTCAGTCAGTCCAGGAGTGGTTCCAGTCCTTCTGCACCCGCACAAGTCAGTAACTTCCAGAGGGACCTGGACAGGCTGGAGACAGGGCAGTGCAAACCTCATGGAGCTCAACAAGGCCCAGGGCAAGGTCCTACACCTGGGTCAGGGCACTCCCAAGCACAAACACAAGCTGCGAAGAGACTGGATTGAGAGCAGCCCTGAGGAGAAGGACATGGGGGTGTTGGTCAATGAGAAGCTCACCATGACCCAGCGTGTGTGCTTGAGCCCAAAAACCAACCGTGTCCTGGGCTGCATCACCAGCAGTGTGACCAGCAGGTCGAGGGAGGGGATGCTCCCCCTCTGCTCTGCTCTGGTGAGACCCCCCCTGCAGTCCTGAGTCCAGCTCTGGGGCCCCAATATAAGCATGTGGAGCTGCTGGAGTGAGTCCAGAGAAGGCCACAAAGATGCTCCAAGGGCTGGAGCACCTCTGCTATGGAGACAGGCTGAGAGAGCTGGGCTTGTTCAGCCTGGAGAAGAGAAGGCTCTGGAGAGACCTTGGAGCAGCTTCCAGTGCCTAAAGGGGCTGACAAGAAAGCTGGAGAGGGGCTTTTGACAAGGGCCTGTAGGGACAGGACAGGCGGAATGGCTTTAAACTGACAGAGGGGAGATTGAGATGAGATCTGGGCAGAAGTTGTTCCCTGAGGGTGGTGAGGCCCTAGCACAGGTTGCCCAGAGAAGCTGTGTCTGCCCCATCCCTGGCAGTGCTCAGGGCCAGGTTGGACAGGGCTTGGAGCAACCTGGTCTAGTGGAAAGTGTCCCTGCCTGTGGCAGGGGGTTGGAACTGGATGAGCTTTAAGGTTCCTTCCGACCCAAACCATTCTGTGACTCTGTGATTCCATGGTAACCTCATTCTTACCTCTCCAGCCATGCAGAAATGAATTTTTTCCTCCAAACACTTCACAAAGGGAACATTTCTGGCTGATGACTCAGGATCATGGGAGCACCGATGCCATGGCCTGCAGCTCTCACTGGAACCATGGTCCACACCACCCATCCTTCCTCCTCCCCACCCTGGAGAAGAGGTTGGCAAATCTGCTCTCCTTATCTCATCCTGAGCCCCTGCTGAGAGGAGACACTTAATCCAACAGGCTGCCTTTTACCCCTCAGTATGATCTGTACTTCCAGCCACCCATCTGCACATCAGTTGCCTGCAGATAACTGCTGGGTGACAGGCGGCCCCAGCACCTTCATTGTCTTTGTGATTAACAGACCTTGTGCATTTATTTAGTCCCAAAAAACGCTTCCCAGCAGCCATAAGACCACCAGCCCCAATGCAATGTTTAACAGGCAGAGGGAAAAAAAGCCCTTCTGCTGTTTGGTGAGATGTGCTGGGGTTTATGATTAATGGAGGATTCTGCTAATGAATGATTTGGAGGCAATGCTTGATTTTAGAGAAAAATAGAGCAGTATTGACTGACTTGACGCTGACCGGGAACGGTAGCCAGTGCTTAATTCTTCCCTGGATAAATCCAGCCCCCAGCGATCCTGCATCAATGTGAGTGATGTTATTTATCCCATTGAAAAACATTAACTAGTCTGAAGCATCCTTAATCCAAAGCAATCAGTTTAACTGCCGGTCTCGATGGACAGCTCCAGCACTGAGAAGCTGTTTAAACAAACCACACTGGTGCACATAAGGCTCATTGCAGCGCAGAGAAAGAAAATGGAGAACTTTTCCCCACCAAAGCAGGATGAAGCTTCTTCACTGTTTGCTTGCTTGAAATAAAAAGCTGAATCCAGAGCCACATCTCTCTCTTCTTTTCCTTCTAGAGAGATTATGACCTTAGCTTAAAGAAAGGGCGCTGTCCTTAGTCACTACTGCCTATGCTTTGACCTAGGGAAAACCAACCTTATGGTAGTCTGCATCAGAAAGACCACAGCCAGCAGGTCAAAGGGACTCTCCCCCTCTGCTCTAGTGAGACCCCCACCACAGTCCCCCATCCGGCTCTGCATCCAGCGTAAGAAGGACGTGGAACTGTTGGAGTGAGACCAGAGGAGACCACGAAGATGCTCTGAACGCTGGAGCACCTCTGCTATGGGGACAGACTGAGAGAGCTGGGCTTGTTCAGCCTGGAGAAGAGAGGGCTCCTGGAAGACCTTAGAGCAGCTTCCAATACCTAAAGGGGCCAATGAGAAAGCTGGAGAGGGGCTTTTGACAAGGGCCTGTAGGGACAGGACAAGGGGGAATGGCTTTAACCTGACAGAGGGGAGATTGAGATGAGATATTAAGAAGTTGTTCCCTGTGAGGGTGGTGAGGCCCTGGCACAGGTTGCCCAGAGAAGCTGTGGCTGCCCCATCCCTGGCAGTGCTCAGGGCCAGGTTGGATGGGGCTTGGAGCAACCTGGTCTAGTGGAAGGCGTCCCTGCTGTGGCAGGGGGTTGGAACTGGATGAGCTTTAAGGTCCCTTCCAACCCAAACCATTCTGTGATTCTACAAAAAATCAAGTGTCAGAGTCCCAAGAGGCAGGTGCCAAGACACCCACATGCAGTCTGTCACCCTGGGATGCATTTGATATCTCTGTTCTCTTCCTCAGACAGGAATCCACACAAGCAGTTATTGCTGGCAGACCCCTTCCTCCAGTTACCAAAGCAGCAGTTTTCACCCAGACCCAGGTACTTCATCAGGACAGGAGTGAGTGATGGGCAGCAATATTCAGGGTTCAGCACATTAGGGTGAGACAGAGGATAGCAGCACCACCATTTCCACAGAAGATAGAAGAAAAAACCCTGTCTTCAAACAGGGCACAGAGAGAGTAGCTCCTTGAGCAGCAAAAAATCCGTTCAGGAACTCCAGGAACCAAGGGCTGCTCTAAACCACTGTTCAATAACCACCCAGAGATTTAAACCCTCTGACCCTTCTATCACCAGGGAGTGGCTCATCAGGGAGTTCAGCAATTCATCTATGGTGTGCTGCATGAAACCTGGGCATCCCCTGGGCATCCCCTCAAGTCTCACATCATTAGGGGAGCATCCACTCCATAAGGAGTTCACTTTCTCCTCAACATCCAGAGTTTAACAAAGTTCCCATCTCCCATTCCCAAACTGTACGCCTCTGACAAACCTCTGTATTTTTCTTTCTTTTTCCTCAGCTATATAATTATTAATGAGCTCCATACTGCTTTTGAAATAGGAGAATACCATGGATCCGTGTTGTTCTGTTCCTCTCCTGGCTACAGATGTTACATCTACCCTTTAGATCACTGCTGAATACTGAGCTTGTTTTCAGAGCGTTACACACAGCAGCTCCAGGATTCTCCCTCACGCCTCTTTCCCTAAGAAGCAGGCACTTAAATTAGAGGCTGTCATTGCAGACATTCATTTACCAGTTCTCTAGGTATTAGAGTAAGACTTACTAACTTGGAGTACCTTAAAGAAAAGGAGGAGTTTTGCATTATTCTGAACAGATGCTCGCTATTACCACACTTTCAAAACACATTAGTAAAACCCCACAGCATTTTATTAATTTATAAAGCACAGAGTTTCAAGTGATTAGAGCACAGGTAAACTAGCTAAACATATCCAGCAGCTGTGAGGAAACTCAGCACAGCAAAACAAGGGAGAAAAAAAGTAAAGGGCCATTTCTGTGCCCTGCAGTTTTCCTCATGTGTTGCATAGGTGTGACAGACCTACCTGCAGGCCAGAAAAACAGAGCTGGGTCAACTAAAGAGCCCTGGAAGGCCATCAGTGTGCTTGGAAGCTGCAAAAAGCAGAGTAGCAGCATCTGAAGGATGAGGAAGGGAAGGATGAAGAAACCTTGCTTCAGAACAGCAGCACTGCAAAGCAGAAGAGCATTTCTAACTGAAAGCTGCAGACAGGCAATCCCAGCCTACAGTCCTGAGTTATGATTCCCCAGGACTCCAAGATGAATTTAAATCAAGGCAACAACTGCAATTAGGTAAGGCTGAGCTCTACTACAGGTATAGAGCTGCAAAGCAAGAAGACAGAAGTGCTCTCCAGAACAGGGTGACTGTCCCACAGAGGCTCCAGACCCCATTTTGAGATCATTTCTAGTCACCATTGCCCTGTCTGCGCAGAGGTGTCAAGAGCTGAATGAGCTTCAAAGCGATCATGTCTGTCATTGCTACACATGCTTCATCTGCCAGTGTGCTATCAGACTAGGGATTTCCTAAATTCAAAGTCAAGTTTAATTTAACCATTTGAATTAGCTTTTTTTATGTTCCCACAACAGCTCTTTTGGGGGACCACTCCTATGGGTAGTCCATTTGTTGTCTCTTCTGGGACAGAGGTCAATTAATGCTGGTTTGTGCATGATAAACATATGTTACAGCCCAGAGGAGCAGGTAATAAAGTATTACACTTCCCCATGCAAGGCCAGTGGAGCCTCTGGATAAAGTCATGGCAGGACGAAAGATCCTCTCCATGAATCACATTTATAACACATAATACTAATCTATACTTCCAAGTCACAATCGTAGAGTAGGACAGGGGGAAAAACATTTATAATCTATTTCTAACATAAATACATGCATTTCTGACTTCTGTGTGACATCAATGATGGAGAGCTCACCACGGCTCAACCAAATGGTGGAGGGCTCAGCCCAAAAGGGATGTCCCTTTTGGCAGCTCATTCCTTTCCTACTAAAGGAAGCTGTCCCTGAAGGACACTATTTCACCTCCACACAACAGCAGAGAACAGGAGGAACCTGTTCCAGGAGCTCCCAGCTCCTTAAGAAAAGCAAAGATCAGTGGTAGTTTACAGATACATTAAAATATTTTTCAAACAGGGTGTAAATTAGACTCCCCATTTACCTGCCAAGATTCCAGTTCAGTCCTTTTCATTCCCCTTGTAAGAACAGCTGGCACAAGCAGCTAACACAGCAGGAAGCATGATTCCTTAAACTACTTTAAGTGTTAGTGACGCATATGTTCTAATCAAGAGTTGGCATCTTTAACATTCTTTGTATTTATTTTAAGAAAGCATTTTAGTTAATCTAAGCAAGAATATTCAAAAGCTACTGTGAAGAAAATACATTTTTGTTTCTGCTCATAGTTTGCAGAACAGACACTGAACACTTTGCCAGCTCATTCAGCAGACATCACTCGCTTACATGGCCAAGCAACACGCAGTGAAGAATTACACACAAAAAAAAGCTCCAATTAAACCTCCTAAAGATGAACTTGTGTGCCAAGGACATGCAACACAGCCTTGTCAAGGAGAAGCCAGGGCTGGAGAGGCAGTCAGCATGCAATGGGGCAGAGAAGCCCGTTTCAAGGCAGTTTCCACGTGTTTCTTTGCCATCCTTTGAAAGCACAGCCACAGGACAGCAGTGAAAGGTTGCACAAGGATTGCTTTAAAAAGAGCAAGTTGAGAAACTGCTCTAGGACTGTGCTGAGTGTGGCTGGACAGACAAGACCACATCAGCCAGGCTCTCACCTGTGCTACTCGCTGCATAAAAGAACATAGAATTAAACACTGAAGGTTTGGATAAAAATAGATACTTTGTAGTTCTCCTCTTAAAATTACTGTACAAATAAATAAAATTGCTGTTCATTTAAATATAACCGTTTGGGAAAACTGGACACCAGCAACAGTCTTCTGATGGACCCACTCATTCCAAAGGAAGGCAGAGTTATTCACCATCTCCGAGGCCTCCAGATCGCAGCAGGAAATGATATCTGCAAAGGAAACACACCAAAGTTGCCAAATAAAACAGAGCTTGGCAAGAGCACTGGCCCAAATATGAGGTCCCCTGGCCCACTGCTCTGCCTTGGGGACACTGATAGCATACACTAGGGCGGGTACACAAGCAAGATTTACTCAGTAAAAACTCATGGAATGGTTTGGGTTGGAAAGGACCTTAAAGCTCATCTAATCCCAACACCCCTGCCACAGGCAGGGACACCTTCCACTAGACCAGCTTGCTCCAAGCCCCGTCCAACCTGGCCTTGAACACTGCCAGGGATGGAGCAGCCACAGCTTCTCTGGGCAACCTGGGCCAGGGCCTCATCACCCTCACAGGGAAGAACTTCTGCCTAAGATCTCATCTCAATCTCCCCTCTGTCAGTTTAAAGCCATTCCCCCTTGTCCTGTCCCTACAGGCCCTTGTCAAAGCCCCTCTTCAGCTTTCTTGTGGGCCCCTTTAGGTGCTGGAAGCTGCTCTAAGGTCTCTGTGGAGTCTTCTCTTCTCCAGGCTGAACAAACCCAGTTCTCTCAGCCTGTCTCTCACACTGCCCAGGACACGGTTGGTTTCTGGGCTCAAGCGCTCACTGCTGGGTGATGTTGAGCTTGTCATTGACCGACACTCCCAAATCCTTCTCCTCAGGGCTGCTCTCAATCCAGTCTCTGCTCATCCTGTGTTTGTGCTTGGGATTGCCCCAGCCCATGTGCAGGACCTTGCTCTTGGCCTTGTTGAGCTCCACAATGTTTACACTGTCCCACCTCTCCAGCCTGTCCAGAGCCCTCTGGATGGTGCCCCTTCCCTGCAGCATGTCAACTGCAAAACACAGCTTGGTTGTGCTCATTCTGAGCAATGTGAAACTGAAGGACTTCCTGAATCACAGGTGTATTCTTGTCTTTAAAGTCATAAAAGAAAACTCATTCAGATGGTTTTCACGCTGTTCTGAGATTTAGTGTTTGGCTGCCCAACACTGTAGAGTCACTGCCCTAGGGTAACAAAGCAATTTTATGATAAAAACTATGGAAAAATAAGTTACTCCTGTTTGAGTCAAACTTGCTATTGGAGAGTTTCGACTGAAGCTCCTAGATTTAGCCTTGCTAGAATCAGAGAATCTCAGCTTCCATCCTACTCCTGATTTTAGATTAGCAAAGTCCAATACGAAATCAGACTGTTTTATAGAATGAAGCATCCATGTATCAGAGTTTAAGACAACCCCATTTTCAAAAGGCAGGTTGGGGTCCATTCCAGTCCATGCTAACACAGCTGCTGACAGCATTTTCATCAGCACCTCATGGCATAAAGCACTGTGCCACGAGTCACTGCTGCATCAACTCCGATTCCACGCCAAATTTCCAAGCGTAATCTGTATTCAGCCAGCTTCTTCCAGACCAGGCGGATACAGTAAATGAAGAGGATTGAGACAGACAGGGTTTTCAGGGATATGTCCTGCCTGTGCTGGTGTTTTTTCATCTAAGCCTAGTCTGCAAACTTATTTACCATTATGGTTTTATATGACAAGGAAAGACAACAGTAGTAAGCCTGACATTGTGCTGCTACAGCCTTTTTTTCCTCTTTATCCTTGCAAATTCCTGTGCAGCAGGCTAACCACTTCAGGGCTGGCCTGCCAACTAGTGGTACTGTTGCTATTACAGTATGCCAGGCCTCCCATTTCAGGTAAGAGTCCCCAGAACTGACCCAGTTACTCTGGTAGGGTTTGCATTTTCAGCTATAAAACTGATTTTTCTAGATAAAAAGAAGCGTTGGTCTTGTCCATTGAGATTTTAGTGAAGCATTCGATGTACCACACAAGGAAGTATTAGATAATCCGGAGAAGACTGGGATTAGTCAAAAAGGAAGATGTCAAGGCAGTTAACCTGTCCCAAGGGGAAACTGAAACTGGTAATTTGGAAATGAAGAGGCTAGAGTGGAGTTTTATCAAGATTGGCACTGGCAACAGTCTTCTTTAATTACTGTTTTAACTAACAGCCTTGGCACAGTTAGAAGTGTGCTGATGACAAAGGCGGAGGTATTACAGTTATCAAAAAGGATGAGGAAATACTCAGTCATTCACTGCTTCTTCTAACTGACAGGATAAAACTTGGAAGTAGAAAACATAAGGTCATGCATCTGCAAGCAAAAGTAACTGCTCTAACCCAGAACGTTATTTATTTGAAGCAACTCAAGTCAAAAAAGGCTTCAGGATACAAAGTAATTATGAGAGGATTAAGTGACAGATATGAAAGGAGAGATGCTATCCTGGAATACATCAGGAAGAGTATTTCCAGACTGGATAGTAAATCCTAGCACTTTACAAGGACCTGAAGAGACTCATCTAAAGTGCAGAAATTACTTGTAAGTGGAAGAGTTGGAGGAGCCAACATCAATGGAACCAACCAACCAACCTTGAGCAGGAAGAAATGCTGCTAAGGTTACAATTGTTCTCTATAAATAGTTCAGAATGGGCAAACACCCGGGACCAAGAACATTTTAAGCTAAAGGACAAGTCTGTCACAAGATCAGGAGTATTGAACGGATCAGAAAGGCATTTGTGTTGCAAAGGACAATGTCCTTAGCTACAAGGACAGCTAGATGCTCACTCTCAATGACAGTGTCAGACAAAACCTTTGTTTTGATGATGCATTTATCAAATTCTAGAACATGAAGCCCATGACAGCAGAAGACAGGACTTGAAAATCCTGGAAACTCCCTTCTGTATTTTTGTTGCTCTCCTGAAAGACAGAGAATATGACAGACTGCCTTGTATTTTATGTTGGACGTTCAGTGGGCACATAAAACCAACAGCCTCACTGTGGGACTTGGCAAGACCACCAGACTTCCAGTCCAGCCTTTTCCTAGACATTTATCAAGGCCTTTGCCTGCCAAAAAGGACAGGAAGCTCCTTGAACATTTGGGCCATCCATCTCTGATGCCCTCCGAGCATTAAAAGTGCTTTAATTAAAACAATAAATCTGTCTTTAATCTGACAGTTACTCTCATACCTGAATGCCATATTTAAAATGCACTAACACAAAATATTCAGTAACTTTGCCTAATTCAGCTTTTATTTAGTTAGCAAATCTATTGTAAACGCAACAAACAAGCAGAGTTAAACACTGAACTGATGGCAGAAACCTGCCCACATTTGTGGAAGTAGATGAGGTTTAGCGTAAAGGACAGGATGGCAATTCCAGACAGCACAGCCAATTCTCTGAACAAACACTATTAAGGGAGCAAAAGTTTCTTTGTTAGAAGCACTTCAAACAAATTCCTTTCCCTAAATGCTTACTGAAGCCTTTTCTAGTTTGACTGCACACTCCCATCACCGAATTTTCAGAACTGCTATATGTTACATTTGATTTAGAGGGCTTTGGTCACTAACAGAAAATCCCCTTTAAGCTCAGAATAAACAGAGAGTAGCCTGGCAGAGACACTAACCTGAATGTCCTTCATCTCTAGGAGACAGAACGTTGGCGCTTTTTGCCGTAGGAGATCTGCCTGATTCGGACTTCTAGTTGGAAGGCATCCAACCTTTCCTTTGGGTTAAAAGCCAGCATGTCGTGCAGGAGCTTGCAGAGATCACCTGGCATGGACTTCTTCTTCAGGGGAATCTGTAATTTCATGTTGGGGTTCTCCAGCAATGCTTCTCCAAGGGGAACAAGCTCCTTCCCTTGGCAGATGTAAGTTCCTAAACACAGGTTGGAAGGAGTCAGGTTGTACAGTAAAAGTGCACAAAACACTGTCATGTGCAGTATGGATAGACAATCTGGAAAACAATACATCTGGAGGGCTTATCACTTACTAAGAGACAACTGCCAAGTCAAATACTGGGAGAGGCTGTTATCAGGAGAGGCTTTTACTTTGAAATAGTAATCACGATGTTGCACAAGGCTGTGTGAGCAGGCATGTGGAACACAGGGAGCAAGTTTAAGCACAGTGTGCTCAGCAAGCAGCTATATGGACCATCTGCAGAAATATGGGCTGCTGAAATGAACTGCCTCCATTTTACTCCCTACGACCAGACTGAGAAGCTCTAGAAGAGGGAGGGAGACTATGCTTGGCTGAGGTGACTTGGAAAGAGTTAAACACAAAACTTATTTGCTCAGTTAGTCAAACGGATTTCAATTCAAATGACAGCACAGGCCATTTACTGTTAGCCAACTTCTCCTCAGCAAGATTAAGGAAGGGAAATGTAAATTTGCTCCTGGTAATCTAAATTTCACTGGTTGTTGAAAATGATTAACCGGCTTCCAAACCAGACAGTAGAAAGAGCTTTGCTCACTCAAGCTGTGCTGCCCCTGCACCAAGCAAAGAATAAACGTTTCAGAGGCAGTGACCTGTCTGTGCATAGAAAAGGCTGGCCTTGCACACTCCTTATCACAACTTGGCGGGGAGCTATTTTAATGAAATCTGCTCATGCTTTGGTCTCAGCTGCAACCATTTGCTTATTTCTGTAGGCAGGAGCTAAAACATTTATCAGTGTTTGGCATTTTAAAAAGAAACAAATAAGAGAATTAGAAATGAGCCTACTTGGAAGATAGAAAAAAAATATTACAGGAGTAGCACAATAGCTTCTCAAAGTTCCTCATGGAAATTCCTTTTAAGAATTTAAACATTTCAAAGACAGACAGGTATGCCATGATCTCAGAGCCTGGGTAGATGTCTTCAATTATTATGCTAATGTGCATGACTGGCATTCTCTCCTCTTGAGATGGATTTTCCACTGCAATATACTTTCCTGAAATCATTTAGTACAAAGTATTTCAAGCGTGCATTTCTGTGGGGGATTTGGAGGAAGGAGGCGGCAGTGGGGAAGGAGGGAATGAGCAAGGAGGCCATCAGAGGAGTCATCCCTGCGAGATCATGCATCTCTAAACTGTGAGGAAACTCAGCCAGATGGCAACGAAGCTCTTCAAAACATCCTTTCCAAGTCTATTATTTGGCTCTTTGGAACATCCTTTCAGTGTTCCAACTGATCCCATACCTTGGTTATGCCAAGTCAAGGCTACAAGCAAACTCGTAAGTCCAATTCCATAAAAGTTTTGGTTTTAAGAGCATTTAAAGCATTTCTGAGCAAATGGAAGCATATAGATACTAAATCCTCTATAAAGAATATAGCTGTGAGACAGATGCCTCACCAACAGCTATAAGTATTTTTCCCGTTATAATTTTTTAGCAATAACAAGGGCCAAATCCGTTTTTGAAGAGCATTCCTTGGGGTAAGGAATGCCTGAGAGCAGAGAAGCCAGAAGCGATCTTTCCCTCAGCCTTTAAATCCCCCAGAGTATTTGTAAATCTTTTAATCTTCCAAATAAAATAATGATTTCTAAATAGAAAAAGCATTCCCTCTGCTTTAGTGATATGTCTCTAAGACTTGAAAACCCAGCATGAGAAGCAACCAAGTTAAAACAATGCATGCAGAAGAAAAAGATTTCTTTGCAGTTCTCTTGAAAACAAAAAAACCAAACACATTCTCTCCCCCCCCCCCCCCCCCCCCCCAACAGTCAGATTCGTGTTTCTTGGGCTGCAAATTCCCAGAAAAAGGCAAATCCAAAGCACATATGCCACAGCATTTGTAACTATGCCTGGGAGAACATCTCTCAGAGTATCCCTACAGATCCAGAGCCTTCAGTGACAACGGGACAGCACTGATCTGATCCTCACCAAGCAATTCCTTCTCAGAATCCCCATCTCGGAAGGTGATCCTCTCGACCATAGCCCAGAAAATGATCCCAAGGGCAAAGATGTCAGCCTTTGCAGTGTAGTGACCTTCCCATACTTCTGGAGCCATGTAGAAGTTGGATCCACACGCAGAAGAGAAACGATGCCGGTTCACGTTCCCTTTCTCCTGACACACCTTGCTGAGACCAAAATCTGCCACCTGTAATGCATGTAAAGAAAGTAAAAATCAGTTATTCACAAACACTAAGTTTTCAAACAGCAGCTCAGTGAATTCCGCTCCAAAATCCACCGCAGCATGGTGGGTGCAAACACTGGTGAGCAAGAGCTAGTTATTTCCTGTTAGCTGTCCCTTCCCAATTCCTTTCCTGTTGATTGCTCCCCTTCCTAAGATGGGCAAACCAGGCATCTGATCATCTTTCTGTCAAGTTCACTCTGATTACATCTAATTGGGCATTAACATACCTTGAAAACCACCTGTGGTAGAAGCAGCTCGTACTGTTCTACAGTGAGCGCACCAAATCTCTTGCATTACCATTATTATCCACAGTGATTAAGATGACATGGATTTAAGTGTCCCTTGACAGCTCTACGAGTCGAAGTACAAATACCATTATTGATCTGAATGGTCAAAACATGAATTATCTGAATGCACCAACCTACTTTTTTATGTCCTAACTACTCGAACTCTTGGGATTGCAAGTTCAGGAGCAAGCTGGCTTCCAGCTTTTTGTAGAGCTGGAACAGCTTCTCAGTCTACTGTTACAATAAGCACAGCTAGCCAGTGCTTATCTCAATCAGGGCACCAATATGAAGCACAAAGACGTTCCCTGCCTCCCCTGAACATCAATATGTGCTTGAGGCAGCAATACTGTTGTAACAGGGCAGTATGTTCTTAAAGTTTAAGGGCACAGAAAATATTGCTTCATTTTGGACGGATCATGATCTCTCTGATGATCTAGAATGCAGAAGCTTGAGAGCCCTGAACTGCTCCTGTCAACAGATAAGCAGTGGATGAAGGATGTTACAGAAAAACACCATTGTGACCTTTATATCCTTCCAAGACTCCTTAAAAAAAAAAAAAGCCCACAACTGATATCAGATGTTCTGAATATGCTTATTACAAGTACCACAAGTCTTATCAAAAGCCCATTCCAAAGCACACAACGTGTATGCATGTAGAATCACAGAATAGTTCGGGTTGGAAAGGACCATCAAAGATCATCTTGTCCAACCCACCTGCAATGAGCAGGGACAACTTCATCTAGATCAGGTTGCCCAGAATCGCATCCAGCCTGGCCTTGAACGTCACCAGGGATGGCTCATCTACCACCTCTGTGGGCAACCTGTGCCAGTGTTTTACAACCCTCACTGTAAAAAATTTCTTCCTCATCCAGCCTGAATCTTCCTCTTTCAGTTTAAAACCATCACCCCTCGTCCTATCACAGTCTTTCTTATAGGCCATTTTTAAGAACTGAAAGACTACAATACAGTCTCCCTAGAGTCTTCTCCAGGCTGAGCAACCCCAACTCTCTCAGCCATTACTAACAGGAGAGGTGCTCCATCCTCTGATAATTTCTGTGGCCCTTCTCTGGGCCATCTCCAACATGTCCACATCTTTCCCATACTGACGGCCCCAGAACTGAATGCAGGACAGGTCTCACAGAGCAGAGGGGCTGAATCACCTCGCTTGACCTGATGGTCACAATTCTTTGGATGCAGCCCAAGATACGATTGGCCTTCTGTGCTGCAAGAGCACACTGCCAGCTCGTGTCCAATTTTTCATTCACCATTACCCCCAGTCCTTCCCCTCAGGGGTACTCTCAATCCCTTCATTCCCCTGCGTGTATTGGTCTGCTGTGTAGAGTACATACTCATTACAACAAAGTTTTATTCCCTTACCTTTACTATGGGACTTCCACGTCTATGAGAAATCAGAATATTGTCGGATTTCAGGTCTCTATGCACTATCTGGTTTCTGTGCAGGAAAGCCACGGCGCTGCTGAGCTGCTGCATGAAGCTGTTGTTCAGCTGAGCATCAGGGCTGCGGGACAGCAGGTATTCATTCATGTTGCCACCATCACAGAACTCCATCACAAACCACAGAAAGCAGGCTGATTTGGGATCCATGCACCTCCGTCCTTTCAGGCAGGTCTCAATGAGTAGCAAGTGGCTGTCTGATTTCCTGTAATGATGACTAATGGGCTGAAAGACTTGGCCATTCTGCAGGATACACTCCTCCAACTGGATCACATTTTCGTGTTGCCTCTGGATACTCTGCAGGGCCCAGAACTCCTGCAGAGCCAGTTCTACATTTTCGGGGACACCACAGTGTATCCTTTTTACAGCTACTTTGCTTCTAGTTTGGTTAAGGATGGCCTCATAAACCACCCCATAGTTCCCTCGGCCCACTTCCCGAATGATGCTGTACTTGGCTTCCTCAGCCATCCCTCACTTCAGCCCAGTGAACAGCAAATCAGAGGAAAATATTTGAACTCATGGCAATCAGTCACCTGCAGTAAAAACCCTGAAAGAGAAGGGGATAAAAAGCTTAAAACTCCCCCAACAAAGCAGCTTACCAGTCATTAACTGCAAATACTTCCAAGTCGTATCAATTCTAGCAGTATATGCATTGGTTTATGATGCAGCTTCATGAGAACCAGCAGCTAAAACAGGGTTCTAAGAGAAAGTCTATATCCATGGTAACTTTGAGACATTAGAGAGTACAATCCTAGCTGCACAGTAGGATAGAACCACCTATGAGGTGACATTGATTTGTCCACAGTGGAAAAAGCTTACTGAGAAAGAAAAAGATCTATGTAGACATGTTTCCTAAGCAGGGCAGGGAAGGAAAGACAAGACCTCCTGGGTAACAACTGAACTTACTTTCACCAGAATTGACTTTTGAAGAAATAAAGTTAGCCAGAAGTGCCAGTTTGGCACTAAATCTTCACTCTCACTCCTGCTCCAGTAAATTTATTTATCTGTCAATGGCTACCTGATGTCCCTGCACTTCAACTACCAATTTTCTACCAGTCCATGCCCTGATGCTCACTCTTTCCAGCTCACCCTCTTCCAATCCCTTTGCAAGCCTTACACTGCACTTCCCCCTCTGCCACAAGCTCCCTGTCCCACTCCCAGGATCCCCATCCCAGGTCATTCATCACTTCACTGACTACTGCAGGTTCCTGCTGCAATTCCCATGGTCCCTTGTTCAATTCCTCCCCTATTCCCCAATAACCCTCTCCCTTTTCAGCCTCTCGTTTCACCCCTCTGCCTGTGCCAGTGCTCTTCAGCACCATTCTGCTTGGCTCCCCAATAACATATCAATCATTCTCTGCTTTCATGCCCCACATGTTCCTTTTCCAATCCTCTTAATGCTTCCCCCTTCTCCCTATCCCACCTGCTTCAAAGCCTTCAGTTCCCCTCAAACTCTTCTCCCTTCCCAAACCTTCAGTCCAGCTCCCCCAACATAACCCCCCTCTTCCCAGCAAACCCCAGCTTCCTTCTCCACCCCATCCTTCCTGAAGCTCTATCCCCCTACTGTGCCCCCTTCTCAAATCTCTCATCCTTTTCCCCAGACCTCAACCCCCCCACTCCTCTCCAAAGCAGGTTTGGGAAGAGCCTAAACCCTTTCACCAAACCTATTCCCACCGTATCCCAGCCGCGCCCCCTGAATTAAGACACAACCCTGTGCCCAGCTCCGGTTCCCCACCTCCATCCACCCCTGCCTCACCTCAGCCGCTTCCCCACCTCACTCTCCCCCAGGCCCTTCCCCATACCCCGCCTCCACCAGCTTCACATGCCCAGCTCTTCCCAGCATCCCATCTAAACGCCTTTCCCCTCCCCTCAGATAACTTTCCCCACCCTCAAGTCCCAGTTCCTTCCCCACCTTAGCCCCTTTCCCCATCCCCCCGCCCCGGCCCAGCTCTTCCCGCCTAACACCTCCGCCCCACCTCAATCCCCACCTCCACCATCCCCTCAGCTCCAGCACTTCCCACTATCTCAAGTAAGACCCGGTGGTCAGCTCAGGCCGCTGCTCTACCTCAGGTCACTTACCCACCCACCCCCAGCTCCTTCCCTACCTCAGGTCACTGCCCCATTCCCCAGCAGCCACTCAGACCGTCCCGTCCCGTCCCGTCCCGTCCCGTCCCGTCCCGTCCCGTCCCCACTTCCCCCGCCGCAACCCCCTCCCCACCCGTCCGCACCGCCACCATCCTCCTCACCACCGGCTCCAGCCGCAGCCGCAATTCCCGCGCCGACAAGCGGCCCCACCCACTGCCAGCAGCCTACCAATCAGGAGGAGGGAGGCGCGGTCCAGCCAATCACAAGTCAGAGAGAGGGAGGTGGGTCCTCCAGCGGACCAATCGGCGAACGCTTCTCCTTCCCCCGCGCAAGCAGCCCGGGAAAAGAAGTTGTGCGCCTGCGTGAGGGTGGCAGCACGTGAGAACTACAAATCCCAGCAGACTCTGCGGTGGACGATGGGTGCCGGGTGAGACCAAATCTCCCCACGGTGCCGCGGTGCTGGAGCTGATGCTTGCGAGGGGCGCGGCGGGGAGGGCAGTGACCTTCCGTCTGTCCTTCCGTCCGTCCGTCTGTCCTTCCGTCCGTCTGTCTGTTTCTCCGTCCCCTTAGCCAGGCAACTGTGCAACTGTCCGCCTGGCCGTGTTTCCAGGCTAAAATGTAACATTACGAGGTGTCTTTGCGGTGTGTGTTTAAACTGCTGGAGAGATCTGTGTCCTAAATACACCCTTAACATTGATGGGGTTGGGAAGAAGGACCAGCAAGGAGCAGCTGGGACCATCTGCACCCCAGCAAACAGGAGCAAGAAAACACATGGAATATCCACCCTGGTTGCACTTGCATTGGGAATGGCAACCAAATAAAAACCCACCTTGGTCCCACATGTCATCCTGGAGGACAATGATGGGGATTCAGGAGCTGCAGCTGGGATTCAGACTGATGGCTGGAGCATCCTGGTCTTCTGGCATTAATCACCAAGGCTGGGGAGGTTTCCCCTGTGGCCAACCTGTATGTCCATTGCATACCCTCAATATTGGTTTTAATAACAGCCAGTGCTCTCAATATGAAATAAAATCACTGTGTTGATCTGAAATGTTTCCTTGCATCTTAAAAAAAAAAAAAAAGGCTCCAGACCCAGAGTTGCTGTATCACACACCCAGGAGCACATCAGCCCCAAATCCTGCCTCCACATGGGGATGCTATGGGGAGGATGAGCCCAGTAGGATGTGAGGTACCATACCATTGCCTTCATATCCGACTGACAGGGAGGGTTTTAATTGCCTCTGCTGGATTCTTACTCCTTTATTATCACGGCAGTATCCTTCAGCCATGGCAATGTCCCACAGCAAGGAACTCACAACTCATGCCTCGCCTCTCCCCTTCCAGCCACCCATGTTGGGGTGCTGAGGGGTTGGGGAATATTTTAATGGAGCAATCTAAATTAATAAAGACAAAATAAATCAAAATCCCTGAATGTTAAACATTGGGCCTGCTGGGACAGTTTGGACTCTATTAAAAAGCGTTGCACATTCCTCTGGTGACTCAGAGGTTTTATGTGCTAAAGACGACAGTGATGTAGCAGTTTTTCTTTCACAAAGCACTAAATGCTAGGGTTTGGGGGTTATTTTTTGATGCATTGTGGTTTCGTGGATACCAGCCTAGGCTCCTTGCTGGGAAGATGCTGGGACCTGCACTGGGATCAGTGGGGAAGGTGAAGGGTGCAAGCCTGGTCAGATGGGCAGGACTGATGTGTGAGAGGAGAGATTTAGTTGCTGCTGAGCAAAGAAATCCCTTATTGTTTTTTGTTTGTTTGTTTGTTTTTTATTGATTGCTGATCCTGTTTCGTTAAACTTCAAGCTCCTTTTCCCTGGCATAAGCCTGGCTGGAGGCAGTGTGAGCGTTTTGGGACTGCATGACTATGGATGTGTGCTGGTGCTTTGGGGTCAGAGCCATCCTCTGCTCCAGGATAGGGTCACTGGCACCTTGAAACCCAAATCCTACCCCAAACCAACACAGGGCATGTGTGATGGGAATTCTGGGTTGTTTTCAGCTCCATGTCAGCATCTGTAGACATTGTGGTATCTATAAGCTATGGCAATGTCCTAGGGAAGCTGATTGCTAATTATCTCCCTCCCACCTAGGGAAAGCTGCTCCATCACAGCCAAATGTCAACCATCAGCAGCAAGGGGGACACAGGGGGTCCGGGTACCAGCAGGGATGAAGCTGTGTCTTCATCCTGTGTCCAGCAGAGGATGGCATGGGGTGGGCATGCAAGAACAGAAAGAAAAACATCCCATCAGGGTGAAAACTCGTTTGTCCACCCCGCGGCAGAGGGGTGGGTGTTGGTGGTGGCTGCGGGGACTTTCCGACCACCTGATGGATGTTGGGGGAGTGGGGACGGCCGCTTTTCCCCCCTGAAATAGCCGCTGGTGGGAAATGAGTCACTGGTTTCAATCTGGTTTCTCGCCAGCCCATCCCTGCCACCATCCATCAGACGAGGCTGAGCCAAGCAGACTTTTTCCCCCAGGGAAGATTTCTTTTTCATGGGAAAATGAGGAGACAGGGGGTGCCGTGTCCCCAAAGGAAGAAGTGAGTAGTAGATGGCTGGAACATCATCCTGCCCATCTTCCGCTGCTGGCCCCAGGGGGTGAACATAAATATAGCAATCAAGAGGTAACAGCATCACTGCTCCTGGATGCTCTGGGAGGCAGAGAGCCTCGGACAGCAGTTTTTCAGCTGGCCCCAAGGCTGTGTTTGGAGCCCCAAACCCATGTACGTGTATATGGACATGCCCACACTTCCCATGCCGTGGGTTAAAATCTTTTCCCTACAAAGCTCTTTCTCTGCTCTGAAATGTGGTTTTGGGATTTGCCTAAAGTCAAGAGCTTTTCCCCGAAAATTCAGCCTGTGGTGCTAATAATGTGAGTTTCCCATACCAGAATCAAGCTTCTCTCCAGCAGGATCCCCTGCTTGTACTGTGGAGGGGACGTACAAGGGATCGCACACCATATGTTGGAGCATATTTGGGGTCAGATCTACCATTTTCTCCCTCCATTCGAACAAAATGTTGCTCCACAGCCTTTTTAACAGCACCCCCAGCATCCCATCTTCCACCTACCAACCATCCCCATGGCCTCCCGGTCACTGCATTGCTTCTCGGAGCTGAGCATCCCATGCAATGCTCCAGATGTGGCTTCACAGGTGATGGAATAACAAGGGATAATGGCTTAGGGCATTTCTTCTGAAATTCAGATATTCTCTCAGCTTTCAGGCGCTGTCGTCTCAACGGCCTTAATTCATCAGTAAGAGGTAATTTGTGAAAGGATGGATGATCTTCAGCAAAGTCTTATTGCTCCCTGTTCCACCGCTAGTAAGTGGCTGCAGAAGGGTTTGAGTGACAGCTAAATGAGCACAATCGGGTTTTCAATAAAACTGCAATTTCTAACAAGATGACACAAATACTTGGCAGGGCCCCACTGAGCCCCCACTGCTCGCTGAGGCTGAGCTCTTGTGTTGCTGGCAGTATCTGCCATCGGTTTTATTTCTTGATGAACCTATTCATGGTTCTGCTTGGAGAAGGCTGCAGACTGTTGTCAAGCTGTGCTCTGCTTTGTAGGTTCAAGCCAAGGTGGGCATGTGGTGATGGCGGTGACAGCTAATATCCATGCGGCCCATGAGAGAGCAGAGCTGAGGAGGGTAGAGCCATAGGGACATTTGGGGATGGTGTGTCCCAGCATGGGGTAACCAGGAGGGTGGTCCGGGATGCTGCACAAAAATTGCATTGAATGGCAAATTTGGAGATGCTTCAAAAAAAGACATCACCTATCTTTGTTCTTTGTGTAGGGTTGATGTGACAGGACTCCAAAAACCAACACCAGAGGAAAGGTAGGACCTCCAGAACCACCAGCAAGCAAAGCAGGTGCTGTGGAGGATTTATGATCTGGTCAGGGCAGTTTGGTCCCAGAAATTCATTCAAAAAAACACCAGGATAGAGAGTCCATCACCTTATTGTGGGTCAAAGCTGCTCCCCAGCTGCCACAGCTTTCCAAGAGCTGCCCCATCGCCACTGGGAGCAGCTCAGAGATGGAGATGGGTGGAGATGGCC